GATCACTACATCCGCGAACAGTGTAATAAACCCGGCAACCAGAGACCAAACCAAACACACGTGACTGGTTTCAAGTGTGGAGAAAGCCGTGTGAGCCATGTCATGTTTGGTTTTGTGTAGGATCTGATTTATTACAATGCAACATATATTTGTTATTTAGAGGACGTTCAGTAACTCCAGCGAAGTAAACGCAATAGGCCAACCAATTCCGAGTTACCTTTTGCCTCTGTTTTCAAACGAGTCCTGATGCGAAACCTTTCTTATGAAAATGAGTTTGATTTGCATGAAAATGAACACGCGAGTGAAACTCATTTTCACATGAAACTGAGGTTTTGCACCTGGACTTGTTTTGAAACGGAGGCAAAAGGCAACTCGGAAATTGGCCTATTGCAGTAGAACCTCTACAAACGCCCACCTCTCTATAACGGCCAGAATTTTTCGTCCCGACCACGCGTCGATCCACACATTTTACTCTTATTGAAACCTCTCTCTACAACGGGCAGTTTATTCTGCCCAGAGTCACCATAGTAGAGAGGTAGCCTCCTCCGCAGGCAACTTATGGGTCTCCGAGGTCTGGGGCAAAAGAGCGGGCACTGGCACTGGGGCCGAGGCGAGTACCCCACCCCACTCAGTCACCTTTTTGTCCTCCGTACCAGTCTCTCACTCGTGCCTTTATGTGAGAGTTGCCTGCAGAGGAGGCTAGTAGAGAGGTTTAATTGTATTTTCTTAAGTCGTTAGCCCGACGTGTCAATCCTTGAGTTGTAGAAACTAGAAACTCGTTTAATATTACTAGAACCACTTTAATGCAAGCTTGACCGGTACACATAGATTTCTCAACAAGTGTGGACACGTTTATTATAGAGTGGTTAAGTGTGACGTCACAAATCTTCAAATTATTTTTATCAAGCCTCAAAATCCCATCATTGGATAAAAGATTGCTGCTCAAAATTACAACTTGTTAGCACGAATGTTCTATTCGTGAGATATAGAGCTTCAAAGTTTGGTAGCGTCCCAGCAAAAACCTCTCTAATTTTGCGTCGGTTCTAAACTGAAGGAACAGACCCAAAATTAGAAGGGTTTGTATGGAGAAATTAAAACCTGAAGTGCCCACATCGCAGCCGCAAATTGCAATGGAGAGTTCATTTTTGGCAAGTGGACGTTTTTTGGCATGAATAGCTGATCAAATTTCATAATTTCTCAAATTTAATTTTTGCGACATCATAACTTTAGTACTCTATTTATCCAAGATACATAGTTTTACTTGCGTCGTATATAGACCGGTTTTCAAAATGAGTATCAAAACTTAACGCAATTACAATGGCCAATCACAAAAAACGTAGACAACACAATGAACCAATGATAGCTGGAAGTTTTAAAAAATGCACTGATGTCACTGGCGGCCAAAACACACATCTGATTGGTTGAGTAGCTGGCGCGAGTTTTTTAAACCAATCGCAGAGCTTAGAGCGATTTTCAATTGAGTATCGAAAGTAATCCGAAATTGGTTTGCTTACTACGTTCTGTGATTGGTTTTAAAAATCTCGCGCCACCTACTCAACAATCAGATGCTAAACCATGGTGTTGGTTTTGGTTTTGGTTTTACGACACTCAAATGAAAAACGCTTCTAGTAAAGCAAAACCAAAGTAAGTTTTGGATTCGACACTCACTTGAAAATCGCTCAAATCGCTCTTGACTATCATTTGTATAAGTTATTGGTACACATATTTTGCACAGTTAAAAATGATATAACATCAGTAGTAACTTAGAAAGTTTATTTAAAAATTATGTATAGGGTATACTATTTAGTAGTATAGTGGACGGTCGCTTAGCAATACGTATACTTAACCATCCAACTGCACATATTTGATGAAGTTAGAATGATATAGCACCAGTAGTTACCTAGAAAGGTATGGTATACATATTTTATATGTAGTAGTTAGTATCACATAGGAAAATGTTGTAGTTCTTGTATATATATCCAACTACTACCCTGGGTACCAGAGGTTTGTTTTTTTTCTCGCGTCGTGACGGGATCAGCCGTGGAAATCACCTCCCGCTGTCATTCCTCGATATTGGACCTTCTAAAACGGCATATTAAAGTACACTCCTTTCTACGCCTCATGTGTTGAATGCAGTTGTTGTAGTTTGAGTCTGGAAAAAAGGTTTAAATCGTTACTATAATGAGATTAGGAAAGCGTGATGACCTAATTGTTGGCGCGTTGGAGTCTGTTTCGAACGGTAAAAATGCTGGCGGGTGCGGTGGACTAGCATCCCATCCTGGGGAAGCAGCAATACTGTATTTGCTTTATGCTATTGAAACAAGGATAAGCTTGTTAATCTATATGAAATGAGATTTCTTCGCGATGAAAAGTTATCACTACCAAACAACAACGGCAGAAACCTCCAAGCTTACAAGAAGCAGTTTGTTGTCTAGGTCTTAGTTTAGCGCCCAAGGATGACATGTTTGGCTCGAACAGCGATGCCAAGTTGTTTTTTTTTTTTCAGGGACTGGGGGAAATTTAAGCTGATTATGATGGAAGACGCCAGTTAGACCAGCCGCCCGCCAACCTTGTACCCTCGAATTGACAAACCGCTTAAAATGGTTGGACCACTTGCTGCAACAAAAATTATACTCTAAAGCCTGGTTTCCATATGATCGCAACGATCGCAGTCGCAGCGATCGTTATACGATCATATGGAAACCAGGCTTAAGCAATTGCCTATCCACTTGTGTCGAAAGAGGCTAATTTTACTAAATACCAATCTCGCACCCAGACCTGTGTTCTTCTCTTTACCGCTGGTCAAGAGGAACGCAACTCTGGGTACGAGATTGACTAAATACTAATTAGGATCACTGCAGGAGTAGGCCTGGCACTAAAGAAAACTGCTCCGCTCTTTTCGGTATGCAGTGTAAAGAAGTGAAAGTAATCTGACTTTAATCAAACCGCCAGTTCTTAGATCTCTCTCGATTCGTTTGGTAGATCATAAACTGATATTTGGTCTAAAACCTGACTGGATTTCTGCTGTCAATTGACTCGAACTTTCGTCAACGATACCGCTTAATTTTGAAATTAATTCCACAGCTTTAAAAAATAATAAAAAATGTCACTGCGGACTGTCTCTACTGTTTCCTTTTTTAGTCTTTCTTAATTTGTTTTTGGTTTACGTATCGAAAAGGTATGATTGAAAGTGGTTGAACAAACACGATCAGCCAGTCATAAGTTCAGTTGATGTAGAAAACTCGTTCAGATATACAAAAGAAAACATTGCATAAAAATGTTCAAGGCTTTGTTTTGTCCATTGTGTACGGTGCCTCTGGGATTCCATTGGAAGTACTGATAACGCACATGTAAAACATAATCATTGTTTACAAGATACTTAATTGTTAACTGTTTGTATAGGTTGAGCAACGTGTTAAAATTTTTCTGTTTTGGAACCTGACTATGGCATAGTTTCCAAACGAGATTGAATTGAGAGGAAATACTTTAAGTCAAGCGAAACAACGCCGCTTTTCGAAAAGGTTTTAACACAGCGTTTTCTACATGCACCCATTCGACGTCAACAGCAAATTATACTGGTTACTCAAGTGTGGATAAATGAAAAGAAATTTGCGTTAAGACACGAAGTGCAACCAATTTACAGGTAAGTTCCTCGTACACAAAGTAAGAACGCATTTAAGAAAGAAAAAATAACTTCTTGTAATATTTATTTAGTGTAAACTCTGTGTGGAGCAACATAAATCAATTGTCCAAAATTTTTATGCAAAAACAGAGGTCTTCTGCTGAAGTCAAACCACAAAGCTTTTGTCCTGACTAAAGACACATTATAATTTCCAAACCAAGAAGGTCTTGATGAAAGGAGCAACTTGCACAATTTGACAGGTAAGACTACATGCCTTTTATATATACTGTATATAGAAAAGTTTGCATGAGCGTGATTTTTGATTGCATTGTTTGTGACGAAGCCAGTTTTGTAATATTCCAATGCATTCAAACTATTTTAACTCACGGCTTTTCATTAGTCGGCATGTCCAAAACGAAAATGCACAACGAAAATTAATTACTGGAAAGTCCAATCTTGACGTAAACAACAATAACAACAAAAATAACCGTTGAGTAGCTGTTGATGTTTGTCAATCATTGATTGTAAATTTTAAAACTTGTTCGTTCAATCGCAGATGTTCAATCTTTTGTTTGATTACGTAAGGATCTTGTTTACTCTTTGTTACAAATCGCCGAAAGCTAAATTTTGGTCGTGATGCATGTCCGACATCATCACTCCGGCTTAAGCGCCTTTACATATACAGTGGAACCCCGATATAACAAAGTGCCCAGGGACCGGGAAATGAGTTCGTTATAACGGGGGTTCGTTATATCGGGGCCCTGTTCCATTTATTTTACTGTAACTTTGACCGGGTGGGCTGAAGAATATCGTTCGTTAAATCTGGACGACTTGCGTTTACAGTGTGACTACTATAACCGGGGCCACTTAGACAAAGAAAACCAAACCATCTTACAGAATGGAAACGAAGAATTTCAACTTCAGTTGTTTGAGCTGATAAGTTTTCAGTTCAATACAACCTTTCAACGTGGAATTAAGTTGAATTTCTCTATTCTGCTCTACAATATGTGGTTAGTTTCCATTGCCTAGGTGGCCCCGGTTACAGTAGTCGCACTGTAATATAGGGTCAAGTGTGTTTTATCTTGCTTTCATGTGAGAGGCGCGGTGACCTAGCTAATGGTTAGAGCGATTTTCAATTGAGTATCGAAAGTAATCCGAAATTGGTTTTGCTTTACTACGTTCTGTGATTGGTTTAAAAAACTCGCGCCACCTACTCAACCAATCAGATGCTAAACCAAAACCATATGATCATGGTTTTGGTTTTGGTTTTACGACACTCGAATGAAAACCGCTCTAGTGCGCTGGACTAAGGATCTCTCGATCCTGGGATCGACACTTTACTCTCACAGTGTCTTTCATACCTAAGAGCACAACACAACGACGCCGGGCAGGACTCGAACCCGGATCTCTCGATCTGCAGACCAAGCGCACTAACCATTAGGCCACCACGACCAAAATGCTCACTTACAACAAACTAATGGTCCAAACTGACATCTTCCTGAATACTACTAGAAGGTATATAACTTAAGTGTTTTGAAGTGGGTATTTCTGTGAACCCTGAACTGCTTTTAAAACGTGACAAAGTCTCTGTAACAGACATAGTGGAGCCTGCATGTTCGCCAGGAATTTAATAACAATCCACCAGGGCGCCCCTCAGTTGAAAATGGACAACCAAGGGGAAAAATCCTTCCATTGAACCATACAAGGTCGACCAATACAACACACAATATCCCTTTGTACTCAGGAGAATTGGCTTCCCATCTATCCCTCGGACGACAAACTCAGGTATATTACATTTATTTTCCACCAGGGAGGGGCAAAATAACTCACCAGGTCGAGTTTCACCAGGTCTGTTACAGAGGGGTGTAAATTTGTATGGTATTTTTTGTCAAACTTTGCATCATTTTTTTTTAACCAAGACCTTATAGGGACGATGTTTGTTTTTCGTTGGCTTTCTTTTATCTCTCATTAGCTTAAATTAAACGAAAAATTCAATTTAGCCTGACAAAGTTATAGATACAGTAATATAAATTGGTAGCGACTGTACATTTTAATAACTGTAGAAAATATGAGATGAATACGTTATATATTGAACGTGATTTTTCCTTTGAAAACCGTCAAATTTACAGACGTTTGTATGACTTTTATTGGCAGGGTGACAAAACATGGCAACCTTTGATTGCATCGTTTGAAGCAGGTTTCAAGCCATTTCCTATTTACATGCTCTTTCTGGCGATATTTTACGTCATTTTTGCGAAGTGCAAAATCACCTTCAAATTGAGGAAAGACGGATTGTGAACGACTAACTTGAAAAAATCCAATTTTTTCAAGATGAGTTACGTAGCTCCTTTAAATAGGATGAATTTCAATATTCGATATGTAAACAATTACACAGCAAAGATTGTCCTTATATGTAATGTTTTTTTTTGTATCGACAGTTCTTTTCCAAGATCTTTCAAGCTTATCTCGGTAAAGAATGTCAGAGGATCGAGCAGTTTCGTCATCGACAAAGGATGACGACGAGGCAAACTTAGGTCACGTGAATCTCGCGGTGCAAGAGATTGGAGATGACTCAGGATTGGAGCACGATGGGACGAAGCAATTACCAGAGTTGAAACAGGAGGAGATTGAAGGAGAAATTTTGGAAAATGACGAAGAACAAAATTCGGAAGAATGGTGGAATTATGTTCAGGCACTCGTCAAAAACGAAGAGAATGAAAATAATGGCAATATTCCAACTAGGTATATGATTTTCACTGTTTTCTTTCTGCATGCTGCATTGTTAACTGATGTTATAACTAAAGGTTCCAATAATTATGTGAGAGTGTTTCATCCGATTTCCACACACCGAGAAGAGAAGTGAAAATACGACGCGTAGCGGAGTATTTTTGACGAAATTCGAGGTGTTTGGAAATCAGATGAAACACTGTCTCGAGTGTTTGATATATCTCCTCAATGGAAAAAAAAACTAAGGAGTAAACGGAGAAATAAATTCATAATATATATAACTGAATTTGTAAGAACGTGGCTCAAGAAAATTTCAGCATTTTTTCTGCAACTACCCAAAAGTCCAGTTTTATTACTCCAATAAGACTAGAAACCACACCAAAGAAGAGCGAAAAGGAGAAAGAAAAGAGGGAAGAGAGAAAAAAGAACTGGCATACCCCGTCTTATTGTATCGTCTACTTTGGAGATTTTTGAACGAGAAAAACACTAAAAGCGTCAAAATGGCCAAAATGATGCAATTTTCTACGGACATGTTCTTGCAAATCCATGGGTATCATAAACGTGGGCCGCACTATAAGTGGTTTGGCTCGACTTCCTCACACCATCTAATTCGCGTTTAAGTTTTGCACCTGTCTTCTTTTAGAAATTTTAGTTTCGCTATAAACCTAACTTCTCCACGCTTAGTCGACCATATGAACATTATCAGTAACAAAATAGTGGATAACATTATTTTTAGGGTCATATAAGGTAGATGTAGGGCTTTTATTACTATTTAACTTGAACGGGACCTCAGGATAATTGAGTAATATTTAGTTTTCATTGATTTTAATTAATTTAGTAATATGTAGTTTTGATTCTGTTAAATGTTTCTTGACAAAGTAACGTCATCATGCATGTTTTGTTTTATCTTACAAATAATAACATAATCACATTTTACCGCTTACAAATTCCAGTGAACAAGGACTGCCTGAAGATAAAAGAAAGTCATCTGACACCAAACTAGAATCAGAGACAAAAGCCGTCGATAAAAGGGTAAGACTTGATTTGTCGAATTTGAATGTTTTCTGCCCATTCCTTTATTCAAATACATTTTCCTTTTTTTTAATTTCCGAAGGAGCCCTGCCCAGAAGAAAAAGCCGTTTTCCTGTCTCGACTAACATTTTGGTGGCTGACCAGGTAATTAATATATTTACAGCTGTTTCGAGAAACGTTGTCGGAAAAAAGCGCACGCGACAATCCCGAAAGGTAATCTGGGATATGATCAGCAAGGTACGTTCCTGACACTGTAGCTGTCGAACCTACTTTTGTTGCTTTATTTTAGCACTCGCAAACATACGTCCATGGCGTCTCGTGTCATTTTCTCAGATTTCCCTGAAATGCTGAAATCAAGGAACAGTGAACTTAAAACTACTCACAATACCTTTCGGGATTGTCGCGTGCGCTTTTCCCCGACAACCTTTCTCACCGGGGCTAACGCTCAAACGTCAGCTTCTAGAAATTCGCTACGGTGGTTAATTTACCTTTATTAACTCCGAGTTGATAATCAACATAGTCTTTCTCGAAACAGCTGTATTCATTATCTCCCCTCACCTACCCAACCATGAATACATGTGAACAGGTCGGACCACAACGCCGGGGACCAGTTGCAATAATCTGTTCAAACAAGTACTGACTCGGTTCGGAATAGACCTTTCTCCAAAATGGCTGCCGCAAATTCAAAATGATTTAAAATTAAACTGAGCGGACAATCAATACCAGCACCTGAAAGACCACCTCTTGTTTGGTAATCGTACGAAGTTTCATCAGGTTAGGTTCTACCTGAGTCGAGAAAACGGAAGTTGAAAACTGGAACATTTAGAGACGTTTGTATGACTGGGGGTATACGCCATACCCCCAGTCATACAAACGATGATGTACAAGGTGGTTCTAACTTTTAAGTCTGTGGATGAAACCCTAGTGTGTGACCATTCAAATGAAAGCTATTGAGCAGTACTTTTTTTTAAGTCAGTGTATGATCATTTTAATTGAAGCTATCGAGCAGTGCTTCAGTTATGTACTTCCGGAACTCGACGTTGCGAATCCGCGAATCTGATTGGTTCTCTCGTCGTTGACTATTCGCTGATAGACCATGCACGATCGCGCACGCCCCTGGCAGATCTCACGTAAAAGGTATTTTACAAGGTATAGTTTTAAAGTTAGCTTGGTTAAAAGCGTTCATGTACAACCGCTAAAAGGTTGGTGCTAAAAATATATTGCTATTGGCACCGTGTTTACAATCGCTACTAGGAAGTGCCTCTTCCATTGTCTTCGCCAAACGGCCATGACAGCCAGATTCTGATAACGAGTCTCGATCGCGATAGATACACTGTTGAAAAACCACTCAATCACCAGCGGAACTGACGTATGGATGGCAAAAGACTGTAACAACTTTAATGCTGAGCTGTTTTCGATGTAAGTCCATTGATACAAGTATACAACGCCATTAACGGACACGATAGCAGCGGATTCCGACAACATGCTCATGATAGCGATATCAGCCATTAGTCTCTCACGGCGAGGAGTACGAAAACTTCCCAAGGAGCTGATCTTCTTTTCCAAAGCAGATGACCAATGTGATCAATTAAAACCATGGTACTGCGCTCAATGACTTCTGCAGCACCGTGGATTATTCCAAGAATAGCGACCGATTCCAAATTGGCAAGATCTGCTTGTAACACTCGATAGACAACCGCTGTCCCGTAATACAACGTCGCTAATAAGACATAGGAATATCCCGGATGAGTAATGTTCCATAACCGCTGAGCGCAAATTCGTGAGACCGGTTTAAGTAAGACCGCTGTCAAAGGCGCAAACACAGCAATTAGCATTTTGCCTTCTCTGTTTTGTTTGATATATACTGGATAAATAAAATGCGCAAAGACAATAGCAATAGTGAATGTTAGACAACCTGGAACTGTCATTTGAAGGAACAAGGATATATGCCGCTTCACTGACCGTACACGTAAGTTTTTGGTTAAAAGATAGACATGAATACCGAAACTGAAAAGATACACAACGTTTGCGGGAATCTTTTGTAACACAGAAAGCTTGGAGTGAGATATTCCTAGGGCCTGCAGGGTTATTCGATAGGTGGCATTCATGCAGTAGGTGATACAACAAGTCAGAAGAAGTTTCCTTTTTACTCCTTTTAACTGATATAGGCGAAAAATGAGCAGCGCGTTTGAAATGAACCAGCCATAGAGTATAATGTAACCGATCTGACTTGAAGCCGTTCTCATCCACTGCACGTCTACCGGAATTAATTTCCTTGGCCGGTAAAATTCACACAGGTTGATGGTTTTGTAACACATATAAGAGACCAGCATGTATGCTGCACCAGTGATGGTAGCAGTTAGCAGTGAAATCAAAGCTCCAATGTACATTGCTTGCCAAACTGTATGCATAACAGATGGTCTAAGCCGCTTCCACGCTGTCCCTCCATCATCTACTTGCTCTTGCTCTTCGTTCTCTTCTGTTGAACACGCATCAATAACCCTGACATCGAGACTGTTCGCTGCGAAATAGCCGGTTGTGTTTGTGACTTCTCTGTTGCTGTATTCCTGGTAAATAAGCTCATCAACAGGATGATAATACCATTCTCGACCTGTGCTTTCTAGAGGATCGTAGCCAAAAGACTCTGCCGTGTATTCAGGTTCTTCTGGATTGTAATGATCTGCCACGCTTCG